AACACCACTTTTCTCTTTCCACTTCTGCTGACAACTGAATGATCTTCACTATTTGAATTAATTTGAAAAAATTACATGTCACAATTATTCCAGATTTGGCAGCAAGATGAGATCTGAATCAGAATGTACTGTTTGCATGCGATACATAATAAAGAGAAATGACATCTCTGATAAGGGTACAAGTTATCCAAACTTAGGTTGGATATTAGAAAAAGGTTCTTCCCCCAGAGGGTGGTTGGGCACTGACCAGGCTCCCCAGGGCAGTGGGCACAGCACCAAGGCTGAGCTCAGGAAGTGTCTGGATGATCCTCTCAGGCACAGGGTGTGACTCTCGAGGATGGGTTGAACTTGATGATCATTTTAAGTCCCTTCCAAGTCAGCATATTCTGTGATTCTGATGGTCTTCCTTTCCATTTTTCCCCACCTCTTCCTCTCCTGTTCCTTCCCATGTAAAATGCCAGCAGGAGCACTGGAGCTGTGAAACAAAGGCAACGTGGAACCCAGCGATTCCTAGAACAGCTCTGGAGTATCAGACATGTTCATTGTGAGTCTGCACACGAGGCCACCAATAAACAAGTCCCTGATGCTTATTCATTTTTCATTTGCTTGCCATAGTAGAGCATCACTGTGCTTTGGAGGAGATGTTTCAAGTCTTTGTAGTGCCGAAGTTGTGAGTGCTGGATGACATTTTGTCTCTTCTCAGTGACACGCACGGATCGTCTCGACAAACACAGGCTCAAAATAGGCCCCGTCTCCTCTTTACAAAGAAAGCATCTGAGGGGAAAAAAAACCCACAAATTAAATAGAGACAAGAGCCTTTTGAACATGGGAATGCTCCTCTTTATTGTTACAGGGAGCACGCTGAACTACAGCGGGCTGGCAGGAAAATCTCAAAAACTAGGTTAAGACTCACAAGCAAGAGAACAAATGCTTTCTGCTGCTGCATCTAAGAGACTGCTCCTAGCAGGGCTATTTGTGCCTTGGCCATCAGAATAATTTGAACATGAAAGCTGATATTGTCAATCCAAATGCATCCTGAATTCTTTTTTCTAAACAACAACAGGAAAAGAAACATCAGTTCTGCTCAGAGATCACGTGCAGCTTCAGACTAACGAAAATGAGGTTGTTTAATATTCTGCTGATTCGAGAAAAACAGCACTGACATGACTCACCTCTTTCCTTTCTCCTCAGGGGATCATTTCTTTCTAACACAAGTTTGGTTTTCTCTTTATATAACCAGTTCATAAAACAGGCATTCAGCTGTTTGAGAGAAAACAAATTAATCAAACCATGCACACCATTTATATAGTTGCATTTTAAAAGTTTTTATCAAGGGAAGTCATATCAAATGGACCTGCATTGGTTTGCTTGTGGACTATGCATCAAAATAAATACAATTACATAAATTTTATTTTCCCTCTTGTGTTCCTTGTGTGGATATTTCATTTTAAGAAGTATTTTCCTCTAACTGAATGGATGCCAGTTGCAGAAATATCTGCTACTAAGCTAGAAAAATTTCATCATAACTTTTCATCATAAATATCAAAGGCTAGAAATCCTCTGAGAGAGAACTAAACATATCAGATCATTGTACTTTCTGGGAAAATGCTGCAAACTTGTTTACCACAAGAATGCTAGAGTGAGAAAATAAACCAAATCAAAGGAGGGTCATGTTTCTACTAATAGGGTTCTGATCCTGCAAATATTTTTGTTTGTGACACTTACAGAATCATATCAAGTAGTAAATGGAAACTTGAAGACAATTTGTCAGGTGCTTTGTACCCACAGGAAGAACCAGGTTTGGTTTCATTCCAATTTCAGAGGGATTTACAAATCAATATACTTGGAATATATTGGTTAGTGCCTGCCTTCATCAGCTTTGATTTATGTCTGTGAAAATGCTCCTTTCATTTTGGTCTTTCAGCATGAAGACCAGAGTTTGCCTCCCACAGATTTTTCCTCTCCAAAGGTCTGTCCCAGGAGGAATGCAGAGCCTGCTTTAAGGTAAGGTAGTGAAAAGTGCATATAGATTCTTCATCATCATCATCTATGCAACTTGAAAGTAAAAGACATGCAGGTAATCATACTTTTTACACAAGATTAGTTAGCACCATAGCTTTAAATAATTTAACACTTTTTATTTCTGGTACCCCCTCTTCCAAACGTGATGATGGTTCACTTGGGAAGAGCAAGGTGGCCCAGGAGCAGCTCGCTCAGCTGGCAGGAACCCACCTGGGATTTATTCCCAGAATGAGTAGAGACTCATTCTGGCACTCAGATGTGCCTGGTTTGGCAGGAGGGAGAGAAAATGAAACACTTTATCAAAGTGAAAACAGCAAGGCAGATTCCAGTCTTGTTTGACTGTTTTCTACCAGACAATATTTTTGATCCAAAGGAACCCTGTAAAGTGTCCTTTATAGAGGCAACCAGTGTGTCAGCTGGTTAAAAATACATCCATCTCATCTTCTGTGCTTCTGTAGCTACTAAAGCTGTCTTGGAGATATTTTCTTGGGTTGAAAAATATTTTAGTACATTCAATCTTGTACAAATCTTTAAATCTGATATGGAGCTTTTCAACCTTACATTTTAAACAAGAAATCAGTATTGTTCTTCATCTCAGAAAGCAGCTCTATTGATTAGTGCAAACAGACTTTCACAGAATTCACTGGAAACCATCAACATTTTCTAGCATGACCTAAAAGCTATATGGAGAAAAACCATTTAAAACTTGCTACTTCCTCTCTTTTTGGGACTAAAAATAGATTTGGCTCATTATCTCACTTGGCACCTTAATGTATTCCATTGCATGATGGCACAGCTTAGATTACACAACCACATGCTTCTTCTTCCTCAGGGTCTACCTTATACACAGCAAGAAGGAACAGTTCTCATTGAAAGAGAAACTCTTGGATATTTTACTTTAAATCTTTTGTTCGATTTCTGTTCTCATGGCAATATTCCCACTCATTAGATGCAGCACCTCACCCCAGCCATGGGTGGAGGTTACCCCAAGAGCCACACTCAGCCCTTGTTCAAATGGAGTCTTGGAAGAATTTTCTCACTAAGCTCCACTGTTAAATGTAGGCTCACAGACTTTTTTTTCTTCCTCCAAAAGGCTACTAAGTTGACCAAACCTCAGGAGACACACAGCCCAAAGGTGACTCACAAACAAGATGTGTGCAGGTGGATAAAGAAAAAAGGTAAACACATTTCTCAGTGTCACAGATGGGATATACCCGGGGTAAAATCCACCCAGAGACCCCACAGAACTGCTTTGTTTTGCACCTGCTTTCAGAAATGGCTAAAGCATATTTTCTTCATATGAGATAAGCAAAATGTTTTCCATGTATTTCTGGAGAAGCAGAGCAAGGCTCTTCTCGGTGGTGCCAAGTAATAGAATAAGAGGCAAAGGGCAGAAACTGGTGCACAGGAAATTCCACCTGAACATGAGGAAGAACTTCTTTACTGTGCAGGTGAGGTTGTGGAGTTTCCCTCACTGGAGATATTCCAGAACCATCTGGACACAATCCTGTGCCATGTGCTCTGGGATGACCTGCCTGAGCAGGGAGGTTGGACCAGATGACTCACTGTGGTCCCTTCCAACGTCACTCATTCAGTGACTCTGTAGGTGAATGAGGGACTGCGTTAATGGAAAATTTTCTGACACAAAGTTTCATCCCTAAAATTTTTGCAAACTTATATCTGTCTAACCCCAGGAGTTTGCTCAGCTTCACATACAACCGCTGCTCAAGTCAGCCAAAGAAATGTGCTTGTAGGTGAGTGCATTCCTTAGCACCAGTTCCGGGCAAAGACAAAAGCAGCGTTTAAAGCACTGCCTCGCTGTAAGAAACGAGGGGAGAACCTACACGATCCCAAGTGCCGTCTGAGCATTCAACAGGACTGAGACAGTGATTAAAAAGTATCCCTGGCTTTTACAGGTCAAAACTCCAAGGAAACACGACCCGCATCACCGGGAACAGCAAAGCAGCCCCGAGTTGCGCAGGACGGGGAGAAATGACCTTGCGTTTAAAATAAAAACCCGTGAAACCAGATACTCGCTTTAAACGAATTCCCAAACGGAGCTGCTCAGTCGAGGTGGAATACCCCGTTTTCCCGGGGTTTCCGTGCGACACGAGCCCCCCGCCCGTCCCAGCGCAGCACCGCCGGCTTCGCACAAGGTCCCACCGGGCTGCGCGGGGTCCCAGCGGGGCGGACACGGGCACGGACACGGACACGGGCAAGTGGCGACCCCCGCGCGTTCCTGCCGCGGGGAACCGGCCGCTTTTCGACCTCCCCAAGATACCCTCCTCCCCCTCCTCTTCCCTCCTCCTCCTCTTTTCTCCAAGCCGCGGGTGGAGGCGCAGCGGACCTGAGCCCCCGCGGTGCCGGAGGGATCGCGCCGCGAAGCGCCCCGAGGGTCGGGCCGGGGAGGGCTGGGGGTCCCGGGGGGCATCTCTCCCGCACGCCGAGGTGCGGGCGGCCCCTCCCCACTCGCCCCCCCGGCCGAAGGCGCCGCGGGCGGACCCCCGCGCAACCTGCGGAGCCCCCGCCTTTGTGCAGTGCCAGGTGCGGCGCCCCACCCCCCGCCGTGACGTCCACAGGGCCGCTCGCGGGCACCATGGGGTAGATCCCAATGTTTTCCAACGGATGCGCTCAGCGGCGCGGCTGCTTGAAGGCGAACTCCGGGAGCGACGCTCGTCGGAGGGGCGTCCCGGGAAAGGGCGTCCCGGGAGGGGGCGGCGGCGGCGGGGCGGGGGGCCGGGCCGGCGGCCCGCGCCCCTGCTCTTTCCCCACCCCGGCTCTGCAGCATGGCCCACCCCCGTGAGAGCCCCGAGCTGCCCCTCCGGAGCTCCCGGTGCCGGCGGAGCGCCCGCCGCAGCCCTGCGACGGCGCCGGGAAGATGCTGCCGCGGCTCGTCCTGCCACGGCTGACGCCCTCCGCCGCCGCCGCACCCCCGTCCCCATTTGTACCCCGGCCCGCATCCGGCTCCATGAGCGCCTCCTCCTCCCCCCTCCTCGTGAGCATTCCCGCCCTCCACCCATGGCTGCATCGGAAGAAGGGACCGGCGCTTTCTCCCGCGAGGCAGGTCGCAGAGTGACCCCAGCATCCTCACCGACCCCGGGGAGCGCACAGGTAACGGCCCCGGCGGCGCTCGGGGGGCGGGCGGGGGAGCGCCGGGATCATCCGCCAATTTGTAGCGCGCCGGGCAGGGATTGGGAACATATTTCCTGCGGTGAGTGCTCAAATGATGCAGCCGCTTAGCTCCAAACGGGATCAGAGCGGAGCGTGTCCCGCAGCGATCGCAGTGTCCTCTCGCCGAGTGAGCGCGGGGGGCGCGGCCGGAGCCGGGTCCCGGCCGGGGGTCCCCGGGAACGCTCGAGCCCCCGCAGGGATGATTTATGACTTTGGGGGGGTGGGGGAAATGAGGGCTAATAAAGCAGGCTGTTTGCATGGGATCGCCATGGAGACAAGGGAAGCAGAGTCATAATTAAACGCTTTCTGCCCACAAGAAGGTAATTTTCACTTCATAGGGAGAAGCGTAATCTCCTTATGGAGACACAGAGGGTGGTGCTGAGGGGACCCAGCCCAATCGTTAGGATATAAATAGAATATTGTGATGAGATTTTTTTTCTTCTTTAACAATGGCTAATGGTGTTTTCAGTTTAACTTCACTTTGAGGAGTTATTCTAAATGTCTGTTGGTGGTGACTCAGTAATTTCAGATTGTCAGAATCTAAGCAATGATGAGACCTTTAGGAAAAAAACCCCAACAAACAGCTACATCACTTTGATGAGATGTGATTGCACGGGAAGGCACAACAACAAGCTGGAAGCAAAGGGTAAGAGCCAGTTTGCTCTCAGTTTCTCAGAATAGATGATGGTCACACAAGACCTCCAGGCTTGTTTATGAGAAAAGGAGTAACCAAAACAGCATGAAGACAATGAATGGGGTGTTGATCATCACTGCCCATTACACCGAATTCTAAGCCTGGAATCTTGGGGTTTGGGTCAGGCACTCTGAGCCTGCAAGAGACAGTCCCTGAATGCAATTTCGGGTTGAACTTTATTCCGACCTTTCTCGGATTACCGAGTAAATAAAATATTCCAGGCTCTATTCACACACCTGCTCGATTGCTTCCTCCCGAGCCCATGAGGTTATTAATATTTGTATCTATTTTACGTTCTTCTATTTATTTGTCTTATCAAGCAATTCTGAGCACCTTGCTCTGGAGTGAAAGACAAATTAAATTAAGGCAAACAGTAGATGATTTATCTCTGATTACCAACTGTTCCAATACCACAAGTGAAGGGAACAAAGGACTCTTCTTACATGAACTGCTCGACTCACTCCCAAAGGGGCAATCTTGACTGAAAGAGGAATGTATGTTTCTGCCATTTGATTTCTGGAAGCAGAAGTGACTAATGAAAGGCAGGCATATGCAATCTCAGCTTTAATTCCTCTATATTATTTTCTGCTAATTAATTATTTTGGCCTTCGTGAAAGGCAACAAAGAAACTACACAACATGTCCGACAAATAGACAAAGATATAAACATTATTATGCTTTTTGTTAGGAGAAAGAACTATCAAGACTAAGTAGCATTTTTTCCCCTAATACAGACTTCATGAAATAAGCCAGTGTCCCATTGCAAAAGCCAAACTAAAATACAAGAAAGGATGTCTTTTATAGTATTGTGTTATACAGACAATATGTGGAGAGAAACAAAGGGTGATAAATACATATGATTTTTGTCCAGGTAGGCAGCAGAATTAGCATGTTTGGAGAGTTTTTCATGTTTTAAATTTGTTTGTCAAATAGTATTGAACATCTGTACGACTCAAAATGATAATAAAAAGTGAACATAAATTACTTAATTTAAATAAAATTTACAGTATTGTGAGTAATCATCATGAGCAATTTCATAACGTCGAATAAAATTTATACTGTTGTAAGAATTGTGTATGCTAGATGACATAATTGTAATTTTTACTTATTTTATTAGCCTGGAAAATAATGTTTTCATTATCATTATAATACCAACATAACCATCCATGGACTCCAAGTCCAAAGACAGACTTAGGAGTGTGAAATGATAAGGACAAAGTTTGTGTTTACATCCCAACCCTGCTGGCAGACAAACCATGTAGAGGAGTACCTGTGAACATGTAGGATTCTTTCCTAATTTAAAAACTAAATTAATTTTTATTCATACAGACAAATAAACCAATACCAAAATACGGATCACTGCAAAAACCATTCCTACTTTCACGTGGCATTTGAACGATGCCAAATTCCTGCTGGAGATGCACTCTTGTTTTGCAACGTTTTTTGAGTGCATGATGTGGTCAAGGATTATTCTGCACCAATTCATTTGGCTGTGTCTACTGAGGAAAGTACATGGAGGTAGAAAATGTGGTAATAAATGGTGCCTAGGGTTCCTACTGGTGGTGTGGAGAGAACTGGGAATAGTATAAGAAAGATAAGAAGGAATAAAAGTTTCTTTGTTTTAATTGGAGCAGTTATTTTCTCCTTTTGAGATAAAATCATGCATTTCAGCCTGGGATTTAAGTGAACTATTTTATGGCCACTGAGCAGTATTTTATGAGAATTAGTAGAGTACAGCAAAGACTGGACTTGATGTTTGAGTCTGTTTAAGCTCACTGTCACACTGAGTGCAAGCCTTGAAAAAGGAATATGTCTCAGTTTGAGAAGCACACATCAAAATACTCATGTCTTGCTTAGCTACAGGCTGTGTCTAGACCAATCCATTGTTAAAAAGAGAATTTCATCTTTCTTATTCATAGAATCAAGGAATGGTTTGAGTTGGAATAAACCTTGCAGATCATCTTGTTCTCCCCCTGCCCATGGCAGGTCCACCTTCCACTAGACCAGGTTGATTTAAGCCCCATCCAACCTGTCCTCAAACACTTCCAGGGCTGTCAAGAATTTCCTTATATATATCTTACATCTCATATGTCTTTCCCCTCCTCCATCTTTCCAGATAAGGACCAAGAGAGAAAGGAGAGTCTGAAGAGAACAGATTTCAGTATCGCCATCTAATTGAGAGACAGTTGCACAAAGCCAAAATATTGCTCTCATTACATCCTTCCAGCAGTCACAGGCCATAGGAAAGATTGACAATCTCATTTGATTTGTAGTCATAAAAGAGAGGGCTGCACAGACTGGAGAAGAACACCATGTCAAAACTCTGTATTACTTGAGGAGATATAGACAACCATGACAACGTGTGAAAACGTCAACCCCTCCCCTCCTTAATTTGGGGGTAATCCATTTGGATTTGTCTAAGTGTACATAGGTGCCATCATGTTTTGCTCTCTGTGATGTTGCTTCTCCCTCCTGGCACCCTGCAATCAATGAGTGCTGCTTCAGGATGGGCATTTCTGAGTTCTCCAGCAGACCTTGGCAGTGGTCTGCTGTGTGTTCCTTCTCCTCCAGCTCAGGGTCTGTACCAAGGCAAGGAGCTGTTGTGGTGAAATTAGCAGTGTTAGATGTTGTTAACAGCTCTGTCATCATCATTTCTTATTGTTCTCCTTGGAGAAGGCTGATGGAGGGGACTCCTCAGCCTCTGCATTATTTGCTGTGATGTGCTTCAAGTTCAGACAACTTAAAGCTATTTCAGAATAGTTGTTCTAGTGATGTACAGCTATGTCTGTGCCAGACACTAATTCCCCTTTTATTTCTATTGATACCATGTGTGATCAGCAGCACTGTGCTCTGAATTAACTCAAGAAGAGAACAACTGCATAAGACTTAAAGCTCCTTCCTCACTGTTTCTAGTTATCATAATTCAAAAGTTCTGTAGCAGGAAACATTGTTGTAAGTATTCTTCTAGGATGCTAAGAAGAGAATTGAAGTGTTTTGTTCCTTTTACATCATCTCTCTCTGGGCTGAAAGCTGACCTGAACCCAGCAGAGCCTCACAGGCAGTGTAAGGACTCAGCCCTCTAAGTAATGCCCATGGAAAATCCTGAGTCAATGAACAGCAGGTATAGGAATATTCTTTACTGCAGCTTTTTCTTTCTTCTGTTTTAAAGCTGTAACCTACCCTGGATGGACTGTGCCACTCCATATGCCTATCATTGTTTTCTCTTAACTTTTTGGGGTTGATTGACACTGCTAAAGATTTTGACTGACTCTTGTTACTGACATATTTGTTCCTTCAACAAGTTTGCTCAGTTTGAGTCTTGTGCAGTGTTAGGGAGCTTGGGAGCAGCTGGGAAGCTGTGCTTTCCCCCCTTAACCATCAGGGTACTGGAAATCTCAGAGATCTTGGAAGCTACTGGCAGGGAAGGTTTGGAAACTCAAAAGCTTATTAAAAGTGAAGTGTAGGAGGTTTGGGCTGCGGATGCTTGTAGGGAGCAAAGGGAAGGCAAAGAGGAACAGGGGTACAACTGGAGTGCAGACAGATCGGTGCCAGCTTTCTGAATCTTTCTGCTGCAAATCTGTTCCTTCCAGGCCCATAATTCAGAAAATCTTTTAAATGTGTGTGCTGAACTTCAAATATGTGCTTAAGACGAGGGAATTGATAGCAGAGGGACAGAGAGAGATGCTGTTGGTGCCCTGCCTGTCAGCTGGCTGGTGCTCTCATCCTTTTGCAGTCATTTGGATCACTGCAGCTTAATCAGGGCCTTAAAGGCTTATCTCTGATGTCTTTAGTTGTTGCATAAATTTTCAAATTTGATCCCAACACTTGAGCCAGGCCACCCATAAGAAGTTGTTAGGGTTTTTTTTTCCACCAGAAAGATTTGGTTTCCATTTCATTTTCCTGTATCAACAAGTCTGTTCTGTTAACACAGTTTGTTTTGCCTGTATCATATTTCTTCTGAAACAAGAAGTGTACCCATGTCTTCTACATCTTTTCCCCTACTAATTTATGAACAAAATTAAATAAGCTAGCCAGTGCTTTTGCTCCAGTTTATAACTGAACCCTGTGTTTAATGTATATGAAACTTTGTGATGTTCTCTCACCCAAAGTCAGAATGTTCCTGTTCAAATTCAACCCAAGGGCTCCCTGTAGAAACTTAGGAATACTCAGGAATACTCGGTAGAGGCAAGAAACATGCAGGATATTAGTTAATAACCCATTTCCTTTTACATTGAAATCCAAATTTA